GTTCTTCTGGTTATTGTTGTTCGATCGATGGAGCGTTGTACTCAAAGCCGCGAGGTTCTGGGTTATGCTCCCGATCGGAGTCACTCGCTTTTCTTACTTCCGAGGTTTATAAATGAGTGGGAAAGAAACAGGAGAATACAGATTGTGCATGTCACGTGGCTGCTGTTGACTCTACCTTTAAAAGTGAGGCATTCCTGACTGATAATGTTGAAATGAAAGTCATAGCCAGAACTATTAACTTCGTGAAAAAAGAGATGCTGTGACTGGTCCGATCATGTAAGTGTAAGGAAGACTGCCATTCATTCTATGAATCACTCAGATACTTGCCAGTGTATGGGCATACGACCAGCTCTTTCTCGTGGCCTAATGCTCAGCCGCCGTTGATACAAGTCATGCTTACCATGTGTTTCTCGTGACTCTCCAATCGGGTACTCTTGTGGTTGTTTAACAAACCATTGTCTTGGGCTTATTGCCCCTTTCATCCACGGTGTCTGGCAGCTTGACCAATTTATTAGAAATGTCCTCCAGTTGCCATGTGATTTGGGCTGTTGTTGTTATGGGATAATGGGCGTCGACTGCATGAAAAGCTCTTGAAGGGTTCATCATTGTATCGCGGAACCCGGCATTCTTACAACGCCGTCCCCGCAAGAAAAACGTTACTGCTGCTCAACCCTGCCATTTTTTCCCCAGGAATCTGGGAGATCCAAAAGGACAGAAAGCGTTCATTTTAAATCTTGTTGACATTCAGTCTTAATTATAGTTTATGTATGTTCGATGTAGTTGAACATGGTCTCTGTTGCTGATGGCAGCTATGTTATACAAGCTAGTAAACCTTTGATTGACTAGCTGAATCGATAATGTTACGGATAGCCGAAATCGTCGCTATATGACAGAATATCTAGCAGACGGTTCGGCCTGCGGTTTGATTGTAGTCCACATTCAATTTGACAAAATGGGAGACAGAACAGAGCGTTTTGGAACACAAAGGTTATACGGTTTTTCCGCATAGTTATATGCTGCCTTTTGAAATTCATTTCAGTTCTGTATCTTTTTTAATAAAATACTGTTTTAGTGGTTTTAGGCACAAAGAATAGGCATATGGTTAAATCATTATTGTTATTGCTTACGTTTTAACCAAATTACATTTGTCATCCTCCGGACAAACATTGTCACGGTTTACCGTGAGGATAGTCAATGTAATTTTGATGAAACGTCAGCAGTTATGATAAAGACTGCCATCTATCTATCCTTTGCTTCTAAAACCATTGAAGCGGCATTTTAATTAATTTCTGCCTGTTGGAGCATTTGACCGCAAGCCCATTGGGCAATTTTGGATCAACTTTTGCCTCCGGTAGGCGTTTGAGAAAAATATCACATAAAACGATTTAAAAGACCGACGACCGTTTGATATATGAAACATTAGGTGTACAACCACATATCCACCACATTTTAGTGCTGAAGCAAGGAGGTCAGTGTAACAGGCAACAGCTTTTATCGTGGAACGACTTTGCGTAAAATCAAATAGCCAGTTATCGTTTTCACGCATTAACTGCTTTTCAAGAATGAATCCCACCAAGGATGTTCTCTGACTCTGCTGCCATTGACATTTTCTTCACCGATCTGGTTGTTAACGTTCACCATTTGCCCAGCATAACTGTTAAGCTTAAACAGCGGTTGAATACGGTTTTGAGGATCCTCTTGAATACGATCTTGAGGATCCTGATCAATTCTGCGGTGCACAATTGCGTTAGAAGCACAATTTGAATTGAGGAAGGTTAGATATCGCCATCGGAAGCTTTGTCAAATCTTTGCTAATAATCAGATACCTTTTAATCCGTTTTCTCACAGTAGACCAAGAAGTGACATCTGAGAGTTTTATTGTCCGTGGTCATTTGCATATAAACGCGCAACGATACTTACAAGTTTTTAGCAGAGGGCGTTTCTGGAAAATAGAAACATTATGCAGGCTGTTACACTGGATAGTCAGCTATCAAATGGGTAAATGCGGTCACAAAGGGCTTTCGCATCAGACCTGCAGTCACAAAACCGGAAACGTCATCCTGTTATTCTTTCATGACCACACTGGAATGCCATGATGTCTCTAGTATTCTACAGCTAACGGCTTAAATACCCGTTTCTCGGCTGGTTGAACTGAAGGAACACGGGGCAAATTCTTTGCTCAAGGAAATTCGCGGTTAAGACAAAGATCATCCCTCATTAAATTCGAACCTTACGCCTCCAATGTTGAAAGCTGACCTCATTTGCCACTTTGCTATAAAAAATGATTTAGTTGACTTTTGTGCAATGAATCTCTGTTAGTGGGAATATTTTTGGAAAAAGGTAGATGCCTGATCAACGGTCTGTCATTTCGGGTCAAAGTCTGAAAGCTGTACAAAAGAACCGAGGATGCTATTGCTTTCGGGATTTGGACTTGTTTTCTTGGTGTGTTTTGCGTTTCCACGCTTCTGAGATAGCTTCTCGCAACCTATTAACGCTGTTTCAGTACCCATGTTTGGTCTTGGATCGCAGGGCTGTCTTTCACCAAAATCAGATCCAAATATCTCATATCGACAACCGAATTTATCGCCGTACACCTGCAAAGTAACGTCTAGCCACTGGTTAAGAACGGCGTTGCTCGTACTTCGTTTTGGCTTGTTGATGGGGTGTCTCCACACAAACAGTCGTTCTGCATTCCTTTGCGGCTAGTATGTGTAGGTATTTCGTTGGTGCTACGCACCGCGCCGCAGAAATGCGTTGTGTACTACGACGACCAACCACCCTTTCATGCTGATCCTCTACAGTTGTTAAGCATGTCATGTCGTGACATTTTCATGACGACTTTTTTGCACGATTATGACCTCCGTCGTCAGTGTAGATAGGTTCAAGTTTATATTAACTTTCGAAGTCAGCTTGAGAGAATAAATCTTCTTTGCTTTCCTCTTAGCTTTTTCTCTCTCGGATTGTTTATCTCCTGTTGTTCGTCTTCCTCTGTTTTTCCTCTTTTTCCTTCCCCTTACTTTTTTTATAGCCGCTTCATCTTCGTCTTTCTATTATGTACTTTTCTTTTTGCAAGACGGTAGGCTTAGACGTGACGCAAAATTTTTACAACAAAAGTTTCGACTTCAGAAAAGCAGTAGCCGTGAAGAGTAGTGCTCAGATAGAAGTTGTTGAAGTATCCCTCATCATGGATTCTATACCGCAAGCCGATTGGTAGGATTAGAATTAAACTGTTGTCACATTGGAAGCAATTGGACAAATTAAATTGTGAGTTTATGTATCGTATGTATTGAAATTGAAGTTGGTTGTCCTTTTTTGCTCCTTCGTATACCAGCATCATCATACTGTTGAGTTGCTCCGCAAGTTGACTAATACTCCTCATACTAGGTGTGTACACACCTCACGTTTAGTGAGAGTTTTTGTACAAGTTGACCCCAGAGAAAGCGAAAGTCTTAAAGGCATCGATCTCGATTTATGGCTCAAAGATTCGATATAATGATACGGTGGTGAAGGAAGTCGAACATTGCGAATACAGGGCATCGTTTCTGGCTATCGACGATGGCTGTGATCCAGACGAGAGCCAATACGTGATGACCAGAATAAGCGAGTTTCAGAGAACCTTTGTTCTGGAAAGATTTTAAATCCGGTCTTGGAAGAGTTTTGCCTTATTCCTAGATATACATTACAGAAAGACAGAAACTAGTATGATCGTTCCGTAAGTGATCTTTTTCGCTGTTGCATTTCAAGAGATGCATTCTGGAAGGACTGCTTGCTCTAAAATGCCATGATTGCGATCAAAGCTTCTCAGCCGCTCTTCCTGCACTGATAGCCCTTCTCATAGTCGTCTACGTATATTCTGAAACCAAGTGGTCATCGTGTGGATAGAACGTTGAAGATCACCTGTGTGAGACACTAAGAAGTTCTTAATGACTAGCGATTTTTGGACTGAAGACTGACGGTCTTTTTATGAAGTAGCCAGACCATCATATGTTGATAGTCATTCTCTCTACTTATCTGATTGCACTGGCAGATGTAAATACTGATATTGCGGGAGCGCGATGTTTCTTAGTGTCTATTACTGTTTTGGTTCGTTTCCATCTGAATCAATGATGTCAATCTGAACACGCACTTTGACTCGCTTAGATTCACAACATTACATTTACTGCTGTTGGTGCTTTTTCAGTTGACAATGCTCGATTGCCGGCTATTAATTATCGTCTCGTGTTTTACGCATGGTTTGCGATGCTAGGATTCAGCGTCGTTTTAAGTTTAATCGCCGCTGTAGTTCTTCCAAAGATTTCTGTACATGGGTCTTTGGGAAGATGGTTTTTAAACGGACGGTAACAGTGGGTACAGCTTACTATCGATTCTGATTCTAGTTTTGCATTTAGATTCCATCGGTATTTGGTGTCGTGCGGCAAAGAACTTCCATTTTCCTCCAGGAAGAGCAATAGGAACACGAGGCTTTCTCGCAAGGGGTAATGGCAATGCAATGCTTTTCAAAATAAACGCTTTTGTAAAAATAACCAATAATTATTATTGATTTTGTGTCAAAGAATATATATTCTAGTAAGAATCAAGAGAAGAAGAGGTATAATTATTACTGACATTGACAGTGAGTCGAATTCTTTATAGTTATTTCAGCATTAGAGTTTATGTAAAAGCACATTTCGGACAACAGCAACATGGTTCATCATTAGGCATGCACTGACTGCAAACGCAAACCTTGCGCTAGATGACAAAAAGCATAGTTTAAAAGTACCACAGCTAGATTAGAAACGTATGAATCAAGATGTTCGAACAGGTTTTTGTTCCAGCCAACAAAGTGGTGCAGTTCTGCGCCTATGCGTTGCAGGTTCTAATATTCCACGAAGCCGTCCCCTGTTTAAATGGTCCTCTTAGGCTGTTGATGCGAATCCGGAGAAGTGGCAGGAGATGTAGACCAATACTGCACCATGGATTGTAGCGGTTTATAGTATAGTTTATAGTATACTCTATGTATACGTAACTAATTTATCTAGCTGGTAGATATTGCGGCGATTCTTTAATTAGAACATGCTTCTGTTGCCATTTCGAGCGATATTGGAGACGTTTGCATATCAGACTCCTGTGTAAGGCATTTTTCGCAGTTCGCGAATGCTTGTTTTGTTCTTTTCTCATGACCGTGAAGTGTTCCAAAGTAAGCTTTGGGAACCCTGTTATTTCGATGTACGTAGTTTTGCATGAATCAGAGTTATTTTGTTATGCTGCTTTATTTGCTCTTTGAAGGATTGAGGCAAAAATTTTTATAAACTTGAGTGTATATTTTTGACTGCATATCCTTGAGTATTTGCACCTATAGAATACAGAGCCACGAATTCTTGGACAGTGATTTTTCTGATATACCAGAGCTAGAGGAGATGGTAATGGCAAATCTACTTTTTCGCTTCTGAGTTTACGGTACATTTGGACTTAATCGTTTTGTAAGAAATGTTGAATACAGATACTTAATATAATTTTTGGTATTTCTTTGTCGTTACATTGTTTGGTGGATGTAAACCTCATGGATGCATTGGATGCATTCTTTACATTAACAAAAGTAGAAGACATCAGATGATAAAGACAGTTTAAGTATCTTCTAGAGTAAATGGATATATACCTGAAAAACCAATCTTTTATGTTAATCAGTTAAAAATTATTCATTATGATGTTTTTTCCAATAAGAATATTTTTTCCTCGTGTAACCAGACAAAGCTTTCACGGCCTAGGTGTATTGTTTCCCTGCTTGCTTGTAACTGCCTAGAAAACTATTTCAGCAAGTCACGAGCTACACGTAGCACGTAGTATTTGAGCACTTGCAAAGCATGGATGGAGCGCTGGGTGTAGTGACCGGCATATAAATATCCTCAAAACACTAGGTGCTGCAGTATTACATCCATGCGTTGCACGTACTGCTTACATATACACGGCTTTATCGAGCCGCGATTTGCTTATTAGCAGACTTCCAGGCAGGTAGAGTCAGGGAGAGGGTGAGAATGTGTCGCGAAGATTCGATCGAACCACCCAGCATTGTTCTTTCTGTGGATATCGGCATATACCATTTTCTATGGTCAACCCCGAATTTTTAGCTTTTTTTCAGTGTACAACAGTATTTTTTGGTTGATATTTTGAACAGGTTAGACGCGACACAGCCACGCCAATTTGTGTTTATGCATTTTAATATGATATAGTATGACCTCTTTAAACGGCTTTCTATACCTTTGGAAGCACGGAAGATTTTGTTGTTGTTGCGGTCATCACTATTACTAGTTTCGCTGGCTTCAGTGCCCTCCCGGGTCGCTGCTTTACGCTTCTGAATGTTCATCACCACTATCAGTCAGTGTTTCTTTCACCGTTTGTACCCGTTCACTGCTGGCCCAGAGAGGACTTCAACTTCTGCGCTGTCAGTATCCTACTAGATTTCAAATTGTCCATCTCTTGCGTTTTTTTCGTGCCATTCAGATCAGAATTTCAGAATCGACTCTGAACCGGGGTCACTCACCCGCTTTTCATTCTTCTTCAGAAGGTTATCTAGTATTACTGTACGTTAAAAGTATAAAAAGAGATAGCAATCTCTGTCTCTTTGCAGCGTTTCCCTTCATGTCCAATATGATTTTCCTAACCTGCTGGCACCGCACCTTAAACCCAGTGAAAAAGGAACGGAAGGAAAGTATGGAACTGTGGACTCTCAGTCTTCCTTACACGTACATAATTCTAGCACCCTTGTTTTCATTAAGTTCATTATGGGGCGCTGATCTCTTATTTCCATCTCATCTGCTAGGAGTGCCTTATTTTCTAAGGACTGAATCGACAGCAGCTGTGCGATTAACATTGTTTGTATTCTGTTTCCTTCCCACTATTTTATCATCGTGGTAATTATTTATCAACTTCGGAAGGAAGAAAGACGAGTGACCCTGACCGGCGTTCAAACCCATGAACTTCTCGGTAACCAATCTGAA